TCGCTCGGCTCCGAAGCGAAAAGCTGGTATGCATTGCACCTGCTGCCTTATTATACTCACGCTGTGATCAGCGGCAGCTGGATGCAATAATTGCATGCCAATGTGCATTGGCTCCTTTTGTTTACACTCGAAGTAGATTGGTCTATCGAAGCGATATCCCAATTCGTCGGTCACGACGTGACTCGTAGTGACCGACTGAAAGGGAACTACAATCCCATAAAGCACTGCAAATGACAGTCAAACGTCAAAAAATTTAAAACGATGGAGAAATATAAAACTAAGTTGTGGATCATATGTGTAGAAACTGGATTTTTAAGTTTCGGTTTATTGCAAAATAATGCATATATATGAATATTTCTTGGGAGATGTGACTCTGTAATTGGTTGAATTTTCCGTATAGAATCAAGGGTAACGTAGTTCCCCTTCAGGAACTCGAGCTGCGTCGAGATTCGCTTTGGGAACCATGGTTACATACGTAACCTAAAGACATTTTTCAGCACAAAATTCAGCTGTTAAAATTTTTTTAAATAATATGAATGGATGGCTTCAACAAAACATTAACAAACAGTTATCATTAAAAATCAATTTCCCTTATGGAGAAAATGAATTGAGTTTTTAATTTCCAAAACGCAACTTTTTCCACTCGATTTGACAGTCAGTGAATAAAGACAGAATTTCCGTTTTTGCCTGAACTGTTCCGTTAAGGATTCATGATGCGAGCATGCACTTCAAGCAACCCAAAACTCCCCCGTCATCACATTTTTCATCGTAATCAACATCATTATAAAACTAAAGGAAGATTTCAGTATTCAAAGCACACCTAAATACATTAGTGGTAGAAATAATTCGCTAATCCGAAACCCTTGCTGTAGTGCGCTATTACTAGATCAGCTATTCATAGATCAGCAGGCTTTTCCAAGTGGCAGCATGTTCCTGGTGAGGGTCGTACAGTTTAATTGCAGACTAATTAAGCAGCATTGTTAATGCACAAAGCATTTACCATTGCACCTTCCTGTGCACCTCCCCGGCACAAAATATGCAACGAAACACGAACCCTTAAAACGGGAAGTCCTATTCGACAGACTCGTTCAATCTACACAAACAAAA